TTGTAAATGAGGTACAGAAAATCAAGAGGTATGCAAAATATTAAATTTTAATTTGAAATAACCTTGCAGTTATAAAGTTTTCTATATTTAAGCATTCCCATTTGTTCTTCTGAATTGAAACATATCTGTGGTGAGAGCCGGCTGTTAGCCGAAATTGGTAGGTAGTTATTCACGTCAATGTGTACGTCCCCAATATTTGGTCATGTTTTGATTTCTTAAATAAACGAACTTTTGCCTGGCTCTTGTCTTCTGTTGTTACATATCCACCACTATTCGACTATCGTCACTATTGGCTTAGAGTAAAGCACAAGATCTCATCTGCAGATCTGCATTTTTCTCCGTTCTCAACGGTTTTTTTCAGCTGGATCTGCAATTACATTTATTTCTTCATTTCCTCCTCAAACAGTCTCATCCGCATCACTGTCAGATACATTTCAAAACCTTCTCCTGGACTAAACCACAGAAAAAATATCAGGGGACAAGACTTGGTACCGACGAGAACATTAACAGTATGAGGCGAAGGATGCATCATGTGTGTGTGTGCACCACCAAGAGGAAGATTAACTGGCTATGCGAGATTAGGAATAAAAGGTTGTCAAGTGAAATGAGGACAGAATCTGCTGACCTGGCCCAGTGATTTAGATTGTCTATTCTGGATTAAAACAAGCAATAAGGGTTATTAAAGCTGGATTTAATGAATTCATCGAATTTCGGTAGAATTCGTCAGCTGAATACTCCACATACACGGATATATATGCTTTTGAAATTACATTGGGAGATATAAGACTGATAAGTAAACAAATTACATTGAATTAGTCATGCTGAAGGACAGGTGCGAGTGTTTCCCAGGTCATATTCAAATAGATAAGGGAGAGAGAGTATGAGAGATCAAAATTAAGATAAATTGCATTACGCTTTAATTACATCACTTAGATAAACAACTAGTCATTAGAGAATATAACAAGAATTGCAAAGAGAGTAATATCAATACTCTGGTTTAGATAGGTTCTAGCCTTCACAGATGTAAGCCTGTAAAGTGTAGTTGTTTTGGGATTCGTAACAATAAGAGGTAATTAATGATGTTAGGCTCCTATCCGGGAAAAGTTCGACGCAAATCAAGCTAGTAAAGGATGACAATGGAAAGTCAGTCATTAAAGAAGTGGAACAAAGAAAACACTGAGCTGAACATTTCAAATGACTTAAAAATTGACCGCCACCTACAACGCGCCCAACAATACCAACAACGGAAGCAGAACTACCATTAAACATGAACCCTCCGACGAGAACAGAAATCCTGAATGCGATCAAGATGCTAAAAGCTGGAAAAGCAGCAAGATCAGATGGAATCCCAGCAGAAGCATTGAAAATGGACCCAGAGACAACAGCAGACTTGATGACGCCAATACTGGAGGAGGTATGGAAAGAGGGCAAAGTACCTGAGGATTGGAAGAACGGATACTTATTCAAACTACCAAAGAAAGGAGACTTGAGTGAATGTAAAAACTGCCGCGGAATCATGCTCCTGTCCATCCCAAGCAAAATACTAAGCCGCGTCATCCTGGGGAGTATCAAACAAGCCCTAGATGAAAAACTTCGACCGGAACAGGCTGGATCAAATCGCTACACTTTGGATCATCATTGAACAAAGCTTGGAATGGCAGTCACCTCTCTATCTCAACTTCATCGACTTTGAAAGGGCCTTCGACAGTGTCTATCGTGAGGTAATTTGGCAACTACTTCTCTACTACGGGTCGACGTTGACAATTATACATCTCATTCAACAGTTGTACGACAATGCTGCATGCCAAGTAATCCACAACGAGAAATTTACTGAATCCTTTGAAGTGAAGATGGGGTAAGATAAGACTGCCTACTATCGCCAATGGTTTTCCTGATTGCAATAGATTGGATAATGCGACAGACAGTGGGCAACAAGGAAACAGGCATAAAATTGACCTAAACAAAAAATTTGGAGGATCTGGATTTCGCCGACGATATATGTCTGATTTCCCACAAACTGAAAGACATGCAAGTGAAAAGCAACAAGTTGGCAGAAGAAGCATCCAGAGAAAGTAGAACTTCAGATGAACATAGATAAAACAGAGGTGATGAAGATTCCTGGCCAATACCAACAGCAACAACAACAACAGACAATAATCAGCCTGAAAGAAACAATCTCCTTTACCGACCTGGGAAGCGTCGTTTCAACTACAGGTGGTGCTGACGAGGATATCAAAGCAAGGATCGGGAAAGCAATACAAGCTTTCATTACTCTCAAGTTTGTGTGGAGGTCAACAGCACTTAGCATGAAAAATAAGATCTGGATATTCAACTTCAATGTGAAGTCAGTAGCCATGCACTTTGATGGATTGGATTAATGCTGTTAACTGTGTAAATGACAACTGTTCATTTTTGGCATCATCCTCTATTGTGAAAACTGATGAACGCAGACGTGATAGTATACCAAAGGGAAGCGAAACAGCCCCTTCTACGTACATTTTGATTGTCATTGAGAGCAGAAATTATTTTGAGATGATGAAAATACGAGTTTAGAAAGCGAACTTCCAAATTCACATATGATTTTATCCTGAATCTACAACCTTTTACAGATACGCATTTTCTCATAGATATGACTATACATGAACACTGACACTCCTTGGGTATTTTGTTCTTATCAGAAGTAGCAAGGATCAAATGATTTTCTTAGTATATTCTATTGTACTTCGTGCTATTCCACATCTCACGACGTTTCAGAAGTCGACAACACACAACAGAATATTGGTAGTTTTATTGAATTGAGCAGTGTTTGACTTACAATATGACTTCTCAATGAAATTCACATAAAACAAAGATCACTCTCGAGTATTTAATCATAGTAATAGGTCAGTTAATGGTAAACAGTGGTATAAATAGAGCACATGTGAAAATATCGATGAAAGCTTCAGACAGGAGACTATGAGTTAATGAGTTTGATTTTTATGCTTACAGTGTTATGAAATTTCACTGGTAGGCAACATCGGCAACATCTTAGAATTTTTTTATCTGTACTGTGTCCAATGCACTCTGGGTTACAGCGATTGTGTGTTGGTGAGTCTTGTATAATACATTTCTTCTTTGATTTAGTATTAAGGCACACATTTTATAAGAGATAAGGCGATAGGTAGAAAGCAAACTTATTTTGATGTATTATTAAAAAATTAGGAGTCTTAAATAAGTGATGTTATTACATTATGCTCACATTACAGGCATCATATTCAACTCTAGATGTTAATTGGCTGATTCTCATAGATCCTGAGAACATTAATATTCCATAGATTTAAACAAAGTTCGTAGGCTTAGTCAATCGATCGTTTATCTGATATTCAGTGACTGTTGTGTCATTTCACAGCAACGAAGTAAAATTGTTGAATTTGTGTCTTTGATAAGATATTTGAAAGTGTAATTATTTTCTCATTGGAAGGAATTTTATTCATTCAACAGTAAAGGTAGAATAAAGCACATAATAAGTGGATGAGGAATTCCTCACTTGTGGGATCTTAAGCTGAAGTAAACTCTAAGAAGTAAAGTGCTGGAATCGAGTTCTAAGCTGTCAATTATTTGTGCATTTTTGTTATTTTGCGTAAACTTTTGATCATGATACAGCTGCAAAGAGTATATGATTATTTTTCGTTGTCAAAGGTTCTTACTGATATTTTTGAAAGTGTCATAGTTTGCACTAATTCACACTGATGGTATGTGTTGACTGATTGCTGAAATGAGTACTGATAATGAATTGAAAGGATTAGTGATCTTAAGACAATCTGATTTATTCTTGTTGATCTGGTTGTGTTCTCTGAGCTGGATAGTTTACTTGAGAAGCTTACAATGCCCTACTAGGCAATATCTTCAGTGCATACTCAAATTTGAAGTGAGCTTTTAGATTTCTCCACAGGTTTATTAGTCAGGCAAAATTCAAATTTTAGAAGAACCTTACAAGGAAGTAGAATATTAGTGACAACATGAAATAAAAAATTCTTGCAAATAACCCAAGGTCAGAATAAATTCGCTTCACTGAAACGAAATCAAATCATAAAACGACATATTATCAATACCATCACACAACCCGAAAGAGACGCATTCAGAATAGGGACTAAATAGGAAGTAAGCTTAATTATAAGCATCAAAACAGTATATCATATGCATATATTAGAAGAATAAAATAGAGTGCATCACTTTAAAGACACCTTTTAGGAGAAAAACGGATGATATTTACATCATTGGTTGAAAAATCCAAATGAGTATGCATATTGTAATTAGATGGTTCAAGAGGAAATTTCCCGGAGAATTATTCCAGAACGCATAATGTTTCACCTACTGGTATAAGGCCACTGACGTCAAGGGTTACAACTGAATATTGTAATCATCTTTGTGGTTGACTACCTTTTCAAATTCCACTTGAGTATGCAGTTTGTTAATACTGAGACTGAGATCACAGAAGTTTAAATTCATAGACGAAGCTTTATACTATGAATCATTTCAAGATATTGTACAGTAACTGTACACAAATTCTGTGAGATCATCAGAAGTTTGATGGACTGGATTAATGCTGTTAACTGTGCAAATGAAAACTGTTCTCCTTTGCCATTTACCCTATTGTCAAAGCAGTTGCACATAGATAGATGTGATAGTATGCTTAAGGAAAAATAAACAGCCTCTGAGATCCGTGGGATTTTCTAAGCACATTAAATTGGACTTTGTGCCTTTTGCAAACACAACAAAACAATGGTTGGATGATCGATACGAGCAGTGATCGACTTACTTATAATAAGACTTCTCAGTGGAAACGCACATAAAACAAAGATCAATCACGAAAATTTAATCGGAGTTAGAATTCAGTTGAGTGAAGTGGTTCGTCAATAAACATATAAAATACATCATCTGTGAAAAAATCAATAAGAAATTGAGAGAGAAGACTGTGAGTTTATGAGCTTACCGTATGCCTAAATTGTCATGAGATTATACTGATAGGGAACATCTGTGAATTTTTGAAAATTATTTATCTGCTTTAACATTATGCTAACTGTGAACAGAAGCATGATTTACAGTCACATGATTAATGAATTGAAACTAGTAGGAGACAGTGGCCACAGGATCATTAATTGAATATATTTGTATTTCTCAGTGGAAGGTTAATTTCGAGACTGAATAATGGATTCCGTTTGTTTGACATGTACATGTGCATAAATCCGTTGCTCACCGTGATATCTTGGTTCGACGTTTGTATCAAAGTTTCATTATGCTTATCGGTAGGACACTTCAGATTGCTTCAGGTTGTTTTCGTATTATGTATTTCATCTGCAGATGTTCCCCATATCAGAGAAACGTTGAATATATTCCTGCATTCACTCATTTCATTTTCAGACTTACAAGGCAGTCGAACATTGCTATCAAATGACACGCTTCACATTCAATGATGCGACGGGTTCTGAAAGGTGAGATAATAATTTCCTTTATCTGTTTTCCTATAAACTACAGGCAATCTGACACAAAACAGCTGACAACAGCACTGTGGATTACAGTGATTGTATGTGGGTGAGTCTTTCATAACACATTTCTTCCTTGATTTGACACTAAGACATCCAATTTATAAGAGATAAGAGGAAAGCTGGAGAGTAAACGTTATATGAAATAGTATAAAATCGATGAGTCTTAAATTAGTGAAGATGACATTACCCTCTGGTAACATCTCAATATTCATACGCAAACCTAAGTGACAGACAGGTTAATTGGATGATTAAAAGAGATTCTGAGAAAATTTGCATTCCATAGATTTAACTTGACTTCACAGACGTATTCACTCAACCGTTTTTCTGATGTTACATGATTGATCCGTATTTTCACAGTGTGAAGATTTTTCCTTTGAATTTGTTATTTTCCATTAGAATATTTGTAGGTGTACTTTGATTGGACATTAGTAACTAGTGTGAGGTGTCGAGTCCTCTCTTTCATGCAGACTCAATTTTATCAGTCAGGTTTGCAACTGGCAAGAAACCGACATACAAGGCTATCTGCGGATCGCCCCCAACCATCTTGTATCTGTAGGTGCAATTAATTTCATATTTGGAAGTTTCTTATTCCATTCAGTGTATTTGTAGAATATTGCATATTAGACATAATTCAGAATTTCAATACATTTGGGATCATGGGCTGAAGGGAACACTAAGAAGTTACATGCTGGTGTCGAATTTTATCTCTCCATTATTTGTGCTTTTTGTTAATTAGTGTGGGGTTTTGAAAATCACACAACTTCACAGAGTATATGATTATTTTCGATTATCGCGTTGTCTTACTGACATTTTAAGAACTGCCATAGTTTGGACTAAGTCACACTGACGGTGTGAATTAATCGATTATTCAAAAGTCTAATAATAGAGAATTCCATCAGGATTAGTGGTCTTGAGACAAACTGATGTGTTGTTGATGCTAATTATCACACTTACACTATCTTTCGATCGTTTATTTCAGCTGCGTTGGTTTTGTCTTGCACGTATGCTTGGTATTTATTCAGAGCTGGCGAACACTATATCCTCTTAATGTGGTCACAGTGTCATTCGCGGTAAGTTGTGAATTTACAAAATATTTCTCACTTTTCACGACACATGATTTCACTTGAAGTGGTAAACTTAAATATTGCATCATATGAAGTAGTGAAATCATGATCAGTGCAATCCGAACATTTTTACAGTTCCTAAGACTATCGTCTGAAATTTCTATCATGGTCTTATATAGCTGACTTGACCGAAGAAGAATTGAATGACCTGGGGGTTCACTGCTGAACAGTGATCAGGCGAAATGACTAAACTGACAATGGTGAAAGTAGATCGTCCTCGAAGTTCAAAGTCAGCACTGGCCTAAAAGGGTGAACCTACATGGATTACACGTAAATAATATTGAGATGGAACCAGTCGAGAAATCTACTTACTGTTTTTTACGATCAAAGAATATTCAATCTATGAAGCTCTCTGTATCACTGATGAACTTGTATATTGTTATGTGTTATTTATAAAATGCAATATCACTTGGCAATTGACAGCGGATTAAATGATAGTGACAACCACAAATCAATACTGCTGTGTAATTCTAATCAATGCTCATTGACCATAAAATGTACATTATCCCTCACAAAATGCAATATGGGTGATAACTGCTGACTTTCATAAATTCAAAATTGGACGATAATTTTGAGAATGTTGTTAGTAACGAATTACTGTGTTATGGACAGCTGATATCAATGTAATATAAACACGAAAACCATAAGTGTTGGATGCATGTAAATGTCTACTCATAATAAATTTATTCAATTCCGTGAATTCATTTGTTTCTGAACTTCCTTTTGTAGATCATACTATGGTCTATAGTCGCTGCTGTATTCTTCCGTGAATTATGCTGGGTATACATCCTGATCGCTTTGCTGTTAACGGCTGTTATCGGAGTATCAGCAATACTTGTCGGTTTCAAATCGAAACGTTTAACAGATGCTGGATATTTCGTCTTCTTCTTAATAGGTTTGGTATTGATTATCATCGGAATTACATTCTACATTTTCTATCAATTATTCGGTGTAAGTTTTGCATTAGAAGTGCTCATTTTACTCTCAGTTCTCATTACTCCATGCAATTCTGTGCTTCGATTTATATATTGTGTAGCTGCTGGTTTCCTTATGGAAAGCGATAGAATAATACTGACTGGATAACAAGTGAATAGAAGTCACATTAGTCACCTATTCCTGTTTGCTAATCAAATCAATGTTCATCATGGTTGCAGTGTATGGCAATTAGTATGCAAAACTACTCCTCTCAGTCAAAAGTAACGGCACTAAAAGAAAGAGCTGTTTAGCAATTTACGTTTTCGTGATGGCATCGCCTGTTGAAATCTCCTTCTAACAACCAGCTGATGATATTCTCATCATCCTCAAACTACTATAGAGTAGATTCGAGTTATCCATCTAGAGAAAGCTGTCATCTCTCAACAAAATGTCAATTTAATTCCTCATTTTGTTACAATCTGTGATAATGTGCGCGAATCGGATGTTTTTGATAGAAGAGCACCTGAGGAAAATAGTTGCCGTTCACTAATGCTGCCGCCTGATAAAACCGCATAAATGCATGCTGGCGTTTTCTCAATGGCTTATTTATTATCAAAAATCGTATGACTAAGACAAACCCCCAACAGTATTCATTATTAACCGTTTTCCCATCAAACACACCGTATAATACCTTTGATACTGTCCTTCATACTCCTAATTTTTTTTATTTCAGTTTCCATTTCATATACTATATGGCGTCTTCATTGCCATCGGAATAGCTTTTGTGAGTCCCATTGAAACGTGTTTAACAGTGGTTTTGCTGGAACGTTTCTATGCGTTAGTCATAAGTTTATGTCCATCGCTAGTTCTGATCATTGTCAAATGTTTTCCACATTTCTAGTGGGTGAAGGGCTCTTAGTGGTATCCTTCGCAAGCTGTATAATTTTTTTTTATTTTTTATTTATTATTTTTTTGACTACAGCTTGATTCCACACTGTATTTTTGGTACATATATGGAATTTTCAGCATGCGATATCTGTAACCCAAATTTTGCAGGCTGACCATAGATATCAGGTGTGCGTCGGCAGGTGATCGACCCTCGGACCATATGCATGGTAGGCGAGAGCCCTAACCACTGTGCCACCGGCGCACACAATCATATATATATATATCTTATTCGTAGCGACGAAAGGAACGTTTCTAAGGGTGTGTCACTAAAGCTTTGAGTTTTAGGTAACAGTGAAGATATTCCAAATCGGATCATACAGAAACACTGATCAGGTAGTGACTAAATAAAAGTTAAGTGAATAAACTGACAGACAAGACAGAATGGTGAATTCATATTTATGAATGTATATATATTTATGTATAACTAGCATGACTGATAGAATTGAGTAGAGTTCAATTAAAATTGAAGGAACTTCAGTGAAAGATCCTTGTCATAAAAAGTGGAGGTGTTATAATGCTAATAGGGAAATTGTTAACTTTTTAAAGTACCACATGTCAAATACTTCGACATATCAGTTCCGCTGTCAGTTGTGTGACTGAGCAATTCTTCAGTATGCAAAGTTCATAGCCTAGATTGATATAGCTTCCGCACTCCAGGGAAAGTTTCATTGCTGCATCTTTAGCAAGATTCTCGTATACTCATTCAGGTGACTCTAGAGTTGGTTTGGGCATTTAAATAATGTCTGGAATCGATTACATGATCAAGAATATAGTTAAAGTTGAGAGAGAGGCGGAGACTTCCTTCTCTTTGAAACCGTGGGGGGTAAATGTTCGGTGATATTTTCGGACTGTAAATGCCGGGGCATACATTGTAATACATGACAAATACTCATGAAATCAAATTCATTGCGATTTGAGAGACTGATAAAACTCCTATGGCAATCCTTCATGAACTCTTAAGTAGATATTCTGTTCAAGGCAAGCAGTAAATGATTGGACAGTATCAGAGTGGTTCCGAGTCTGAAGCTTCAGGCTTCTGGTATCCAGTTAGATTTGAGGTGTTGAATAACAAATACACTCAGTTAATTTATTACATGACACGACGTCAGGACAAGCATTGAGGAATATTTCGTCTAATCAGAAGGTTCACAGAATCGTGAGAAAAATCAATCACTAACAAAATGCCCTCTATATATGTATTATTCGCTATCCACCTTTTCATATGAATTGGAATTATCCAACCCAAACGTTTATGAGACTAACCTGAAATCTTCTTTGCAAATATTCATATTTACAGTTTACATACTTTTCTGCAGTATGGTTAAAGTATTCTGATGATAAGTCAATTAAATCACCTGCGTTTGCAATTTACATAATATCGCTCGAGATGATGGGACTATTTCTAACATTTTCTAACCTATTCTACTCACAGCAGATACTCGATTCAAAATCCGGGGAAAGAGTATACTAAGCCAATATTGTGCCAAGAGAACCAATCCTTCATGATAATTGAGTAAATAAAGGTGTGGTTGTATACATCGACTTTTGCCGTAAAGCCAGTAACTCCCAATATCAGTTATTTTGGTTCCATTTCCTTCTACAAACCGTTTCATAAATGACCATTGCGTGAATGACTTGCAGGTATAGTTTGAGGTTACAGGCGTTTTGATGATGGTGTCATATTTATTAAAATTTGTTGAGAGCGTATTCTCACTCTACTGATCCCCACGTCGATTCCTCCACCAAAGTCGATACCTAGCTGTGTGATTTCTTATCAGCATTTTTCGTACACACTTGTTAGTTGCTACATGCATATTTGATCGTAATTTTGGAGTTGAATAAGTATTAGTATAAGTGGAAGAACTCACAGTTTTGTGGAAATTGGAATGACATGTCATTCAGATTAAGGCTAGTCGCAGAAGTTGTGATAAAATATGTATGTTCAACTACTTGAAATGACATGACATGCTGTCCCTTATAGAATAAAATCGACTTAACGTGTTTAACAAGGCCAGGACAACATTCATTGGCTTATTGTTTTAAAATCACATTGTTAAGTAGAATTAAATGCTTGGTGGTTAAATACATTAAATATACCCAAACTATAGGAAATACCAAAGGTGCAGAAGAAAGACATACCTCTGTTACGGATTCTATTCAAACCATGTGGTGTCACTGTTTACAAACCCCCCCTTCCCCGATAACCGAAATAATACGCTATATATGTGAAAATACTGGTTCAGTGGAGATAAAAATTGGTTTACCCACTGAATATTTGAAGGAACTCCTATTGAGATGCACTCTAAACGTTCAATTCTCTTTCAGTGACGGAATATATCGATGTATATATATATGGTATAGATATGGGCTAATCACTTAGTCAACTGCTCGAAGACTTTTTCATGTCAAAACTTGAAAACACGCATCTAAAGAAAAGAACTGACAACTTTGGGTTTAACAAGAGATCCATGGACGACAATTTCATTATCTTCAACAATTCTGAGAATTCGGAAGACATCATGGACTTCTTCAATAGCTGCTTTCCAGGAATTCAGTTCACACTAGAGAAGGAATCCAACACGAAAATATCTTATATGGACGTCCAGTTAACATGACTTGAACAGGATGGAACACTGAATGGATCCATCTACATAAAACTGACATATAACGGACAACTTACTTAATTTCATAGTTGGGAGCTCCTGTATACAAAATGAAACCTGATCCGTTCATGGAGCCACAGAATCCGCAGCCCTGATTCTTTAGAAGAAGAGCTAAACACTCTGAAAAGAATCTTTCTAGGTAACGGCTACCCAGAAAGTTTCATCACAAAATCTGTGGAACCTAAGTCACCGAAACTGCCCACACTCTCTACTCCCAAAAACTTCTTCTCTACCTTAACCTACAATTAAATGGAGATTGATCAGCAGAAATACTGAGAAACTATCTGTCTGGCTCATTGAAGAAAACCTTCGCAACTGGACGTCGACTAACCTTCCCTTCGAAACCAGTGATTCGGATGAACGTGAAGGATAAGCTACCACTGTTGGTCTTATCAATGTGCATCTACCAATTCACCTGGTAGTGTGAAGCTAGGTATATCGGGCGTAGCCAGTGTTTACTATGCGCTAACTAATACTGTGTCACTGTGTATTACATCAGATAAACTTATCTGATATGGAATTATATTTTACTACAGGGTCCAACTTCTACTCGAAAAGAACTGAAGAAACCAGGATGAAATGTAGATGTGCTATTGAAGTCCTTTGTCCAACTCGGATCTCAAGGTATTAAACATAATATATCAATTATTGTATAAATGTAATGTTATGTTCCGTCGCCAATATACTGTTATGTACTCGTCGGCAGTAAATTGTTATATACAGCTGAGTAGTTAATTGTCCTGACGTGAAAAGGGGAAAATCAGAAGGCCACCACGTTCACGATGATACGTGTATTTACCAACAAGGGAAATTGGCTGTCACACAAGTGTGTGACTGAAAGGGTACGTAGTGTACGAAAGGTGTGAACAAGTGTGTATAAAAAGTGTACAATGCAGAGTATATATGAAAATGACTAATATACATGAACCAATAAGACAGACAGTAGCTTTCCTTACCATCATTGGATTCTGATTGGTTGTAATGTCATGTGATAAGAATGTCACACATTGTTTGTTTAGTTAATGGACAGATTAAGCATATTGTCAGTTATAATGGAATATCGATCAATATACACATAGCAAAATATATCAGACTGTCAAAAATAAAGGCAGACATCATGTGACTACATATCACCTCCCCTTCTGAGAAGATTGATGATTAGTAGCGGGCTTTCTTGGGGCTTATCTGGAACCGTTGAGTTTGTTGTCGACGTCTGTTGCTTCGTCTTCTTTCGTCATGTGGCGATCGTGTAGCTCACTGGGAAGAACTGAAGAAAACACGATAAAATGCAGATGTGCTATTGAAGTCCTTTGTCCAACTCGGATTGCAAGGCAATAAACATAATGATATGACAATAATTGTGTGAATGTAACAGAAGAGAATACTCACGATTCCTACCTATAATGTGACAAATTACACTCAGGAACTCAAATCTATGATATTCACATATATCAATCACCTACATCGATCGATGAATGACACAAGCTCATAAACTCACAGTTTTCTATTTCAACATTTTGTTGATATTTTCAAAACCGGTGTGTTTATTCCACTGCTAGTTGACCACACCAATATACTCTTTGCCAACACTGCATCAGATACTCCATAATAACCTTTGTCTAAGTATATTTCTGCTCCAAAATATGATTGCAAATAAACCAATTCACGTGTAAACAATATTCCAGGGTTCTATATGATCATTTTTTGTATGTATATGAAATGTGTGTCAGTGTACGACAGAACATTAACAGGGTGAAAATATCACATTTTTCAATCAACATGATCTTTGCTCATTATGATAATAATAATAATAATAATAATAATAATAGCATGAAGTGTGGCTCAGCATTTGTATGATTATCAATAAGCCCACTACAATCTAATTATTCATCATGTCTCAGTACAGAAGTAGGTACGCATCATATTGGTTTGTTTAACGCATACTTTCATTATCTCAACATGTTTCATTTGCTTCACATCAAGTATCAATTTGACTTCCTTGTGTCATATTGTCGAATAGGATATCAAGTAGGTGTTCCTCGAAAAATATCATTCCTAGCAAGTTCTCTTCAACTTTTCCTGAGTGAAAGTAATAATTTCACTGAAATTATTACACAACAGTTACAGCAACATTTAACTTCATGCTTCTGACCATTCTATCCAATTAATAGTCAGCACGATTACTCAGCTTTCATGGTTTTGTTCACCCAGAATGTAATTAGACTGTTCTACAGCCACCAGAATACTTTCGAAGCACTTTATAACACTTCATCAGCAAATTAGATGTAAAAGACAGTTAGAACTATCTACTGAGAGTCACCTTGAGAAGCTCCTTCACATTGGGTTATTAACATACCACAGTGGAGACATTCAGATGTATTAAGATATGCAATTATGAATAAAAACATCATACGAGGTGATAAAATATAATGAATTCAAATTTGAATCTCTTCTGAGTCCTAACATGATCCGGTTACTTTCCTTTTGGTGGTTCGAATGGGATTTGTGAAGAATGCAGTGTGCAAATTGTCCCTGTACTTTGACTTCATTTACTCTTGGATGTCAGAAACACTAGTCAAGAGAGCGAAATTCACCTCAAACCATACAGACATGATCTTCATTCGATTAGTTTATTTACGATTATTTTGTGATTCACTCTTTGTTAATCGTTGAAAATCTTTTTGAATACACTGTGGTGATCATTTCTTTCAGCTGCCAATTAAAACGAATACTTATTGACGTTAACTATGGAAGTTTTATTGAATTAACACATAATAATAATAATAATAATAATTTACTTTATTCCAAAAACAGTACTTGTGATACAGAATGGAATTTTCAGCATTAATCACAATATTGCATCTAATTTCCTCAAATTATAAATAAAATTAATCACACAGAAAATTTTCCACATTTACAATAGAGGTAGTGTCAAAAACATGCAGCATATAAAATGGAAATAGCAATAATAATGATAACAGCTAGGGTAATAATAATAAGAATACAAGTGAAAATTGCCGTTGGCTTGTGTCACACAGTATTGTCAATGTGGTATAGAAATCCTAACATGTTTAAAAATATTGAATATAATGTTCTCTTTACATGATATGGTGAGGGAAAAACAAAGATTACAGCCGTCATGGAGATAAGTTGGTGTTTGCAATTATGAGAGTAAAACAGAGAAGTAACAGGACCATAAATATAATAGAAGTAATAAAAGTAAAACTTGAAGGTATATAAGGATGGATGGAGGAAATTGTTTATTTACTAGATGAAAAAAGGTTAGTTAATTCTTGCCTGACACTATTTTCATCACATAAAATACGTGCCAAGTATGGTATCATAGAATTCTTATACTTAGACGTGCGAGCATACAGTTTTCTGAAGTTACTCCTTGTTCTACCTGAGGAGATGCAAGGTGAAAGCTGAGGGTAAAGCGGATGCTCCAAGTCAGACAAAATCCCTTTAGCAAATTTATTGCACGAAGTCAAGTGCCTATCGACAACGACGTTAACTATGTGGTCCACTGGGACACCACTCACCCTACTGACAGTCTTCAGTATTCTACGAATTGTGACATAGTCTTTTTTAAGCAAACCAGGAAAGAATAAGGGTGAGCAATAAAGAAGAATAGGTAGGATGCAAGAGTTTACGAACTGTAAGATGAGGGGTTGAGTTATACCCGAGTGTCTTAACTTCTTAATGTAAAATGTCAGGCGGAATATTTTACTGGAGATTGCTAAGACATGGGAAGACCAGGAGAGATCAGAAGAGAGAATGAGTCCAAGATACTTAATTTCTGATTTGATTCCTATATCATTGTCGTCAATTTTACAAGTGTCATGAGAATCGATGACTTCTTTTAACTGTCGTTTACATCTTAAGCTGAAATCAACAG